CAGCAGAGGTCCAATGTTGCCCTTGCTTTTACTCCGGCTCCCCACATATCTAAAAAAGGACTTTTTATTTTCCTTGATATTTGTAGCTAGCTGGAGTTCCATCGCAGCCTTGGCTTTCCTGGGTTGCTCTCTGCAAGTCCAGACCAGAGCAGAGTATTCCTCCTTGGTGGTGGTTCCAGTCCTCCATCCTTTGTATGTCTTCCTCTTAAGATGCAGGAGGTCCACTAGTTCCCTGGAGAGCCAAGGGGGCTGCTGTGCCCTTTTGCTGCCTTTCCTCCAAGATGGGTTAGACTTTGCTTGCACACCCAGGATTGCTCCCTTGAGCAACCACTCATCCTGAACTCCCCTCTCCATTTTCCCTTAAGCAACCAGGTTTCTGTCTCAGTTTCTTTCCTGGCTGTCTCCTCCTTGTCACCTCTTATCTGCTCCCCCCAATCTCTAAGCTGTCAGCCTGTTTGCAGCCCCAAACTCCCAGGTTTCTGCCTCTCTCTCTCTTTTCTGGCTGTCTCCTCCTTGTCACCTCTTATCTGCCCCCTCCCCCACCCCCCCAATATCTCAGCTGTCTGCCTCAGTTTCCAGCCCCAGTCTACCTTAAGTAAACCCAAGCCTCAGTTTCTCAGCCAGTTTCTCTGTAGTCCACTGGTTCTAATCCTGGTTCTGGCAACTTTCACTCCCTACACTTTAACTCTGTCTCTCACTTTAACCTTCCCCCAAGTATCCCAGGTACCCCAAGCACACACATACACACTGTAGCATCCAAGTTAGTAACTTACCTGTGTGTATGTGTAGGTGGGTTGTATGTGTGTGAACTGGGGAGTGTGTGTGTGTGTGTGTATATATATATATATATATATATATGTCATTGTGTGCATGATATACAAATGATGTGTGTCTAACTTTTGGGGTATATAGTGTATGTCCTTGAATTGGTAATAGGTATGTATGTGCCTAGGCTGGTTTAGATGTGTATTTGCCGAGTTGGTAGTGTGTGTGTGTATGCATCTAATTGATTTGTGTGTTTGTACATGTGCAATTGTGTCACACCCTCCTGTCTAACAGCGCAATACTGAAATCCAAAGAGTTGGCCTGACCCCACAAGGCAATACCACCATACCACTGGCACAATTATTATGCACTATGCTGGCAGCAATTTCTGCCCCCCTCTGATCTTGGTGCCTGGGGCAGCTGTCCTTGTCACCCCACCTTAGTTATACTACTGTCTGTATACTAAAATAAGATGTGGAAATTAAATGAGTTTTTCCCAATATTCTCCACTTTTTTCTTAATTTAAAGTTCTTCTTAATAGTGCTGCCATCCTCAATCCCAGAGGGGCATTCCCCCAGATACAAAGGTGGACTCCATCCTTCAAGAGTCCTGTTTTCTAAATGCATACCAAAACCTTCTTTATAATCCTAGACCCATCTTCATTTCACTTAACTAAAATCGTGGTTTATTGTCAGAGCTTAGCAAAATCCAGAGTCTGAGGGTGCACTTGGTTGCTAGGGAGTATTTTTGCCCTTGTAAGCATTTAAAAAGACCAAAAAAAAATGGCGCTTTACTTTAAATTCAGTGTGTCTCCATGCTGAGCCTACACATACCCAAAGAGGCAGCACCTTAGTTGGATCTGGCTCACCTCACATCTGTATATATCAGGCACTTTACTGGGGCTTTTTTGGCACTTTTATCTAATAGCTGACTGAAGTGCCCGATCTGTACAGATGCTGCAGAGCCAAGTCTAAGTAGCATGCTGCTTCTTCTGATAAAGCACTTTTTTGGAGAGGAGTGTGGGGGTGTAGAGGTTAATGTCTGCAAGCAGCCATAATGTCTATTTTCCGTGTCACTTCCTTCAGTTCACCAATAGATGGCAGCTGGGAGCTTCTTCATGTTCTGCTACAGAGCACAGACACACAGGAAGGATCTGAAATGGAAAAAGTAATTATGATAGGTAGTCAGTAATGCCAACTGTCATGAAAACATCATGAGATTTGGGATTTCTAAGTCAAAATAACTGACTCATGATCTCTCAATCGAACTCTCAAATCTCCGGATTTGTCCCAGCTGGTAATTTAGTGGCGGGGAAGGTGCAGGGTAAAAGGGAAAGGGTGAGGGGAGGGGGAGATTGAGGCCCCCACGGTAAGGAAGTGATTGGGGCAGGAGCAGGGGCTCAGGTGAGTGGGGCCGCAGGGCTGGGGTGAGTCATCCTGAGCCAAGGGGAGGGGCTCATCCCCCCACAGCTGTGCACACCCTCAGAGGAGGCATGGGGGCCTCTGCCCTCACGGGGCAGAGGCAAGCTGCCCACTGTGGGCTCAGGACTTTGTGCCCTGATACCTTTGCCTAGGGAGCTCAGATGCATGACACCATTGCTGCTTGGTGGCCAAGCAGGGGACATGGGGCATGCTGGCCATGCAGCACGTCCCCTGCCCACCCAGTGACAGGAAGCACACTGGTGTCATGCATCTGAGCTCCCAAGGCAAAGACAGCAGGGCACAGGGCCTCGAGCCTGCAGCAGGCAGTCTGCCTCTGCCTTGCAGGGGGTACGTGCCCCTCCATGACTCCCCCAGGGATGCGCGCAGCTGCAGGGAGCCTCATACCCACCATGCCTCTGGACAGCTTGCCCCAGCCCCAGGGCCCCATTCACCTCAGCCCCTGCTCCTGCCCCACTCCCTCCCCCAGTGTGGGGGCCTCAATTTTCACCCCCACCCCTTCTTTCTCCTCCCACTCCTTCCCCTCCACTTACCAGCTGGGGGCTGTCTGTATCAGTCTGTGTGGCTGTGTGTCTGCTCCTCACTCCCAAGTCACAGCACCCCCAGCCCTGATGTTGCCTCTCACTCCTGGCCCACAGTACCCCGCATCCTGCCAGGGTGTGTGGGGACCCTCCCTCCCCGGGCCCCAAACCTCCTCCTCTCACCACACACCCACAGCCCCCCAGACCTTCACAAATACCCCCTCCCCTCCTACACACACACGCTTTAAAAATATCATCTCATGATTTACATGCCAATCTCTTGATTTTTAAAGAGTTCATGTCATGATTTTTGGCATGGTGGGGTTGGCAATACTGTGTAGTTATAATGACTGACAATTTTCTTACTTCCTCTACCTCACAGTATCTGTCTTTAATGCAAGATATGCAGGGTGTGGATATGAACTACAAGGTTTTGTTATATAGCAATTTCTTATGGTAATTTTTATGGCTATTTTTATGATAAACTGTAGCCAGTTTATCTCACTTTGCTAGAAAAAATGAAGTATTACAGAGGCAAACTCAGCTCCCCTTCTCTAATCTCTGGACTAATTTTAAAAAGGATATTCTCAGAATCACTTCTTCATCTTAAGAAACTTAAACTTGCCTTTAAACGTAACCCCCTCCCTCTCTTCTCCACCTTCACAGCTTCCCTCCATCCCTCTGTGTTGATAAGCTTACCAGGTTGGGAACCAGAGAGCTCTTTTTATTCCCTCCACTCAGACAGCTATTTTGTTCTCTATCAGAAGGCTGAATTCTTCATAACTGAAATAATTCAAGTTTAAAAATGACACACCAGTGCCAACAAGACTAAGACTTTGATTCTTTCTAGTTTTTAAAAACCTGAGGAAATAAATTAGTTAAGAAAATATAAGGCCCTCCTTTGTTTCACTTTCTTCCATATAAGTTTTTGAAAAACAGCACAGAAAGAGAGAGAGGTAGTTATGTTCTGTATCCTCCTGTGTAAAGTTTGGCCAAGTGTATAGCATTTGGTCTGCTGTCTTCTGGAAAAGATAGCAAATACACAGATAGAAAAAAAATAATATGTAGGAGTCTGATATTGCAAAGCCCTGATCACCCCCATAAGACCCAGTCCTTACTAGGCAAGCATGAAACAAAGCCAAATAAAAGCATGTCTAATTGCAACATCTTCTCATTTGGATTTTTTATAAATGAACAAAAAAAGCTAGCTCATCCATTTCCATTTCTATTTCTAATCTTCACTTTTTTCTTTTTTTTTCTTTTTTTGTAAATAATGCTAGAAACCAAAGCAGGGAAATAATGTCAAAGTGATGTTGTTGCCATGGTGGTACAGCAAATATTTGAGAAGCAAGAATTCTTGGGTTTTATTTCTTTTATTAGATCAACTGTGTGGTTGGAATAGATTTCAACAAGCTTTTGAATGCAATGAATTCTTCTTCAGCAGAGAAACCCTGTTCTCTTTGAAAACAGAACTTCATTCATCCCATGTAGCTGGCACACCAAAGCAATTAGTCATCAACACAGTCCCTTTCTGCCATCTTGTGGCATTTCAGTGTTAGCGTGGTTCCAGTTCAGAATAATGTGTTTAGAAGTTCAAAAGGACTTAACCTTATTATTTTTAGCTGTATCCATGTAGTGGGTATGGATTAATTCCGTGTCATTTCCAAGAAAGTTTTCTAGTCCCAACTGTGAATTTACAAATATTCATATGAATTTACTGAGTGATAAATGCATGGAAAAACTCCTATTGATTTAAAAGAGGTCAGGATTTCATCAGCTTGAATATTCTGTTATATTACAAATGAAAGTAAAGTCAAAGCAAATATTGTAAACAGAATTTGAAAGATTAACCTTTTTGCTGGAAAAAGTAACTGAAAACTGACTCTTGGAAATATCAAATCCATAGTTTGTTCCTAAATAGAAGGCAAAATAGGGATTAACTGCTTTAGAGATTAACTGTACCACACATGAACTTTAGTTGTTCTTCATTTGAAATATGTGGTCCTTTTATTTTTAAAACAACTATCCATTATTTCAAGTCTGCATAAGGATATAGCTTCCAATATGGGCCCTTATATCCCTATCCAGAACATGTTATATATTAAATTATTTTTTATGATACAAAATAAAGAACCTTATAACAATGCATGACAGTCAGCTTTCCTGTGCTTGCTTTCAGACTGGAATCACCAACTCGATCTTTGAGCATGGATGCACCAAAAGGAATTAACATTAAAGCCCAAGCTGGGAATATTGAAGCACTTTCTCAGATGGATATCAAGTTACAGAGTAGTGATGGAGTGGTGAGCGTGATAAATCAAATTTTTACGTTATGGTTTTAACTGATATTATGTGATAGTGTCATCAGCATCATTAAGCCCTTTTCAGTTCCAACAGTGTGATTGTTCAGATTTTAGTAAATAGGCTGACAGCTTCAGATTATGATGCCATAATAATGCATTTTTTATAGAGCAGGGGACTACATAATAATATGAAATGTTATTACTGTTAAATGAGTGTAAGGAAAGACTAAATTCTCTTTGTAAATTTAGCCCTTGGGCCTTGTTTAGTTCCACATTACAATGTCTAATCTCCAAGTACCTTTTGACTACTGAAATCTTCAGCTCAGAGTTAGACTTTGAGGCCTACATCCTCAGAGGTATATAGGCTCCTTCTGACTCGTTAGCTACCTGCCCCCACTGGCTGCATTCTATTAGTAGCCTCTGATGCTGCCTACCTTCAGCGCAGAAGTTTCTGCCCATGGTATGTAGTGCTCCTGCTACATATTACATATATTACACAATTAACAGCTTAGTTATGTGATAAATTTAGACCAGGCACCCATGCAAAGTAATTATCACAGGATAAAAATGACTATCTAGCTATGAAAGGAGCCAACCAGCTGTAAAGTTAATGCTTGAAAATATATAACAGCTCTATAGCTGGTTTCTATCCAGCTTTAATTTGAATGTGATTGTGTAGTAAGGCCCTAGGTATAGGCCCACTGAGCATGCAAGTATAACATAAGTCCATAAGAATTTCTTTTTCCTGGATCAGACCATAGGTCCACCTAGCCCCAGTATCCTGTCTCATGCAAGGCCAAAGAGTGGATGCTGAGGGGGACAGAAATAGATTATGTGCAAAATTTTCCTCCCTCTGTTCCTCTCCTATCAGTGCTTCATTTGTAAAACCACTTGAGAACTGATTTTGCCCCACAGCTGACTATAAAGGTGATGCCCTGTAGGTGCTAAAATGGGATTTTCAAAATTCTTGCCTATCTTGCCAACAAAGACTGATGATACTAGGCATGCTTACAGAAGCCATCTAGATCTAAAGAATATGGATGGGCAAGTGTGAGAGTGTAAAGAGACCCCCTTCCCCCTTTTTCAGTAGCTCAGTGGAGAGAGTACTCATTTATGAGACATACCTTCAAGTCAGTGCTCTAACTCAGGCAGAGTAGAAATATAATACCAGTTCCTCAGCATCACAGGTGGGCACTCTAACCATTGGGATAATCTGCAATCTGGATGTTACATACACAGATGTAACATCCGCACCTTTTCTTTTGTAAGGCCGCATCTGGCTTGTTTGTGCTGTAATTCAGCCTACAGGTTGCCCTGGTGAAACAGGCAAGAGAACACCTAGTTTGAGAAGGCTGTTTCAAGGCTTACTGGGATGGGGCTAAACTCAACTTTTTAGGGAGGGTATTGATACTTGGTAGGTTTGCAGGTGATTAGAAACAAAACCATGGGTACCTACAAAGGAAGGCAGTAGAGCTTTTCAGGATATCAATGGATCTATGTCCTTCCCCTCTCAGAGTATACCTACTGGATACAGAGTTTCCCTATGCCTGAAGGGCATTTGTGCCCGAAAGCTTACAAAAAACAAATTTCCAACTGTTTAGTTAGTCTAATAAAAGATATCACATCTATCCAAAGAACCTTGTCTACCTACTGGATAAGGATTTATGCAAAAGACAGTAGCGGAGGCAGCATCCCCCTTTCACCATTTGGCCTAGAGGTTAAAGTACTCAGTTGTCATCTGGGAGGCAAAGGTTCACTTCTCTTTTCTGAGAGAAATGGGAACCCACATAATCTGCTCTATAAGAGAATGTGCTGACTGACAAGCTATAAAGGATTCTTAAGTAATGCTTTTTCA